ACAATCTGGTTCTTTTCCGATAAGAAAAACTTTTGCCAGGATCAAAAACACAACACGCAGAATAACAGATAGCTTGCATGCAGTACAAAGGACATTCCTTGTGTAATGCAGACTAAATCTCCCTTAACTGTGATGGTTTTTGGTGTATCCTCTGTAGGCAATGTGATGCCTCCGCATTTTTTCCAAGAGGACCTCAGGTTGACTTCAGATGGCTACGTGGAGTTATATATATATATATATATATATATATATATATATATATATATATATATATATATATATATATATATATATATATATATATATATATATATATATATATATATATATATATATATATATATATATATATATATATATATATTTAGGAAAACGGTGATATATATATATATATATATATATATATATATATATATATATATATATATATATATATATATATATATATATATATCACTGTTCTCCTTAATGAGCAATAAGTGTCAACTCAAATTCCAAAGAAACCACATTATGTCTGTGAAAGCTTATGACTCCTGGATTCAAAAAATATAAAAAATCAAATCATCCTATTACGTTCGAGAAAGAAAATCACTTTTGAAAATTTTTATTTTGCACATATTCATGAAATGACAGCATTCTCGAAATTTTACATTTTTACAGCATATCTTAACATTCAAAAAGCTCTTTGAAAATAATAAAACCTACCTAACATAATAAAGGAACAAAAAATATGAAAATGTGAAATATTTTATAAAATTTTTTTTATAAAGATTTTATAAAAGCTTTTTCTAATAAGTTAACTCTAGAATAATTTCAATAATAGTTTTTTTTAATTTGCACTTTTTGAATAATATTAGTAATTTTGAACTATTTTTAAGAGTTTACCAAAAAATTCCGGGAAAAGGCAGTTTACTACAATTCAAAGCTCTTGAAGGTCAATTTTTTAACCTTTTCTCCTGAAATAAATTGAAAATGCCTAATCATGCAAGAAGTCATGATGAGAACAGAAAAGTTGTTTGTATCATGTGTCTTAGAAAAAGAAATTGTAAATTGACACCATTTTTGGTCAGCAAAATTCAAAACAACTACAAAAAGCAGTTCAACTTTGATGATCCAAGAATTCCTTAAGGTCTTTGTGATCCGTGTAGACTGGCCCTTGGAAAGTGTGATCAAGGGCAGAAGGTTGTTTTGCCCTAATTGTTTCAATTTGAAACCATTGATATAAAAGTTCACACACGTGGTCAAGCTTGTGAACGCTTGATTTGTGACATAGGGCGACTTAAACTGACAGAGAAATACCCTCTTGAAAGAACAAAAACTGGAGAAAAAATATCAGACAGAAGATGTTCTACATGTCTCTCTCTTATTGGTCGAGGTTTACCCCATCATTGCTGTTAATCACAGTTCCGCGAAAACTTAAGGGAGCTTGCAAAATCTGATGGAACTGTGGCAGAACAAATTGCCAGCTCAACAATTGTCAGCAAAGAATCTTCTCCTTGTGGAACCATTAGACTTGTGCAGCCAAAAGGAGGAGGACTGCTCCCAATCACACAAGGTTTGTATATAATTCTCCATTAAGGTCGACCATAACATTTAAGTAACTGAAATACTATATTTTACTCTTTAACAGGTCCTTCTTGCTCTAAGCAGTTGTTCAAAGATCTAGCTGTAGTCACCGCAAAGGATCTTGCTCAAGTTCAACTAAATACAGAATTATCAAACAGTGGAATAAAAAAACTGACTTCCACCATTAGGCATGTTTCGTCTGCCAAAGTTCTGGAATCAAATATATTGCACAAGTTCCAGGATCTCGGAAAAAGTCTAGAAGAACACTTTACACAAACCCCAACAACATTCATTAGTTCAGATCAAAAGAAGTCTCAAAGTGTTGTTGTCCATTGCAAAAATCTCCAAGCACTCACTGAAGAAGTTCTACTTTCAAGGACAAGTACTTTCAAAAAACATCATTAAACTTGGAATAGATGGTGGTGGAGGTTTTCTTAAAGTCTGCCTTGGAGTTATACAAAATGAAGCAGATAGTGAAGTTTTGTCTCCGCCAAACAAAAGATTTCTGACATCTTCAACGCCCAAGGATTCTGGAGTAAAACAGCAACTTCTGGTTGCAGTTGCTGAAGGAGTTCAAGAGAATTACTCCAATCTAAAGCTCATTCTCTTTCTCATTTCAATCAGTGAAATCAACTTTGTTGTCTCGTGTGATAAGAAGTTGGCAAATATAATTTGTGGATTGCAATCACTACTTCAGCTCATCCATGCACATGGTGCACTGTGGAAAGCTCTAACCTTGCAAACCGGGGTACTCTGAGGACTTTTAGATCTTTGAAGCAAGCACACAAAACCTTTAGAGCAGCTGGATCCGACATCAAGAAAGCAAAATTGTTTGGAAACGTAATTCATGACCCTATTCTCTCACTTGATGATGATGCACTTGTGCTTGATCTCATTCCACCAATGGAGCTTCATCTACTGTTTGGGGTTGTTAACCATCTGTTCAAGATTTTAACAGACCTTTGGCCCAAATCAGCTGAATGGCTCCAAGCTTTGCACATTCAGCCCCAACCTTTTCATGGTGGTCAATTTGCTGGGAATGATTGCCACAAGCTCCTCAACAATTTCGACCTTCTCCAAACCCTGGCTGAAAATGACAGTGCCTTTCCAGTTTTCAGCATCATTGACAGCTTTCGAAAGTTTGGTCCCATTGTTTCTGCAAGTTGGATTGCACTTATGCAGAAAAAATTGATTCATTCAGAGATTCATATTTGGCATTGCCAAGAGGAAGCATCACTCCAAAAGTACATGCAGTGTTTTTCCATGTTAAGGACTTCATCCAAAAAACAAGGTCTCCTAGATATAAAACTTTCAGAAAAGCAATACTTTACAAAAGTGATCTTTTACCTATTTGGATTACTACCAATTTTATAACATAAAATCTTTCACATTTTCATATTTTTTGTTTCTTTATTATGTTAAGTAGGTTTTATTATTTTCAAAGAGCTTTTTGAATGTTAAGATATGCTGTAAAAATGTAAAATTTCGAGAATGCTGTCATTTCATGAATATGTGCAAAATAAAAATTTTCAAAAGTGATTTTCTTTCTCGAACGTAATAGGATGATTTGATTTTTTATACTTTTGGAATCCAGGAGTCATAAGCTTTCACAGGCATATTGTGGTTTCTTTGGAATTTGAGTTGACACTAATTGCTCATTTAGGAGAACGGTGATATATATATATATATATATATATATATATATAATATATATATATATATATATATATATATATATATATATATATGAATTTTAACTCAGATAAGACTTAATAGTTTTTAGCTAATCGTTATCACAATAATCGAGATCTTTCTATTTTTATGAACGGTAATATACTTGATGAGTCATCTACACTTAGGCTCTTAGAATTAACTCTTACCTCTGATCATTCTCAGAAACCATATATCAAATCCATTTCAAAATAAAATAGCATGCATCTCCTTATCAGGCTTGCCACATTCTTACTATTGATTCTGCCATACTTTTATGGAATAGTTGCCATATCATAATCGTAAACATAGTTGGACCTGTTCTTGCAGCCAATCTCCAAACATTGTCACATCTTAATGTTGCTTCTCTTTCTCTTTTCTACAAATACTATGATGGCCCTAGTGTCTCTTGTGCCATCTACTAAAATTCATTTTCATGAATTTATGCGTCAATGAAGTCTCATCCCTTTACTGTGACTGTTCTTAAGTTTATTAAGTTACCCCAAACTTACTAAAGAGAAAGAGGTTGATCGCAAATTGAACTTTATTGATATAATTATTAACTCTGTAAATTATAAATTTAATACTTCAAAATTTTACAAAAAAAAACACACAGTTTTACAAACTAATTTTAAAAGCTTCACTAATATTAATTATGAACTAGGATTCATCAAAACTCTTATCAATAGGGCCTTCAAAAAGCAGCAAGTTTTCATCTAGAAATTGTAAAAATTAAATAAACTCTCCAAAAAAACTCTTTTGCCTTCAACTTAATTGAAAAAACATTCAAAAATTGACTAAACCATCTTATCTCTCCTAAAGAAAACATGTCATCTCCAAAACCCTCTGATATACATTACTTTAAACTCCCTTATATTGGAAAATTTTTAAATACATTTTAACATCAATTAATTAAATACATTTAAAATATTGTAAAGATAATATAAAAGCAAGACTAGTTTTTACAACTTTTAAAACAAGTAGTATGATTTCATCAAAGACCCCTAACCCCCAAATTTAAAACCCTTTGTTGTCTATAAATTTGTTTTCTCCAGATGTAATGCTGGATATATTGGTGAAAACACCAGACACTACACAACAACGGTTTCAGAACATTTAAATTCAGATAAGGCATCCTATATTTACAAACATCTTACTTCAACTCAAAAATGCAAAAACTCAACTGACTCTTTTTCTATTATTGTCAGAGTTTCTTAATGGTAATTACTTATTAAATTTTTATAAAAACTAAATATTAAATTTTTAATGCAGCCAAATAAATTGTTTATATATAGAAATTGTAGTTTTTTTTTACCTGATGATATCAATTAATGTTGATAAAAGATGTTGTTAAAATTTTTTTCAAATTGTTATTCATTTGAAAATTATTTAAATATATGAATATATATATATATATATATATATATATATATATATATATATATATATATATATATATATATATATATATATATATATATATATATATATTAATACATATATATATATATATATATATATATATATATATATATATATATATATATATATATTAGGTACGTGGACTGTTTTTTTTTAAATGATTAAATACTAGAATATTATATATCATTAGAAAGCCCTCAAATACAGTATTTTAACAGTGAAAAAATTATGAAAATCGGATAATTCTATAAAAAGTTATAGCGTTTTTAGTAGCAAATTTTCGATATATGGATTTATTGAAGAAACTGGTTCCAAAATTTTTTTTTTTTTCACTGAAATTGTTATAACTTTGTCAAATCTTATATAAATGTCTATACCTTGGTATCAAAAGATAGATGTAAGAGTAGGCTACAAGTTTATATAACTCTATAGATAAAAGGGTGTCTAGAGGGCCGGAGGGGGTATGGAACACCCTCGTAACCTTAAAAAAAATACAAGTTTTTTACACGAAAGAGTGTTTTTCTGATAAAATATGTCACCTTTATACACAAAAAGTTGTTCCAATTTGCTTCCATTCCATTTCCAAATATTAGTGGTCTATTTTAGAATAAAGGGTCGATGTCTTTGTTACGTTTTAACACCCTCGTAGTGTAATGTTCCATTCTTTTAAATACTTTAACCCAAAAAACACTGATTATATAATGTGTTAAAAAGTTTAAATTTTATTTTCTTACTTTACAGCATTTAAAAGTGTTGTATATATTGACTTTATGGCTGGGATGTGTGCACCGCACAACGCCCTCTCCCCAACCCCCCAGTCTTCTCCAACCTAAAAAAAAAATTTAAAAGAGATTTGATAAAAGGTTTTAAATTGAGTTTATTGAAAAAAAGAAATTAGTATACAAGATTATTTTGCTAAATTAGTTAGGGGAGGGGCGTGTGTCACGACTAACGCCCCGTCCCCCGTCCCCTCGCCCCGCCCCCTACTTATTCAAACTTTAAAAAAATGTCTATAGAAATTCAAAAACTTTTTTAAATTGCATTTAATTAAAAAGAGAGACAACTTTATAAATCTTACCACATTACACTTTTTTCAGTGCATCCGAAAACATAACTCCACTTTTTTTTGGACCCATAAATCCTTTAAAAATATATATATAAAGAGTTAATATACCATAGTTTTAATTAAATTTTTTGAAAATTAAAAAAATAATATACAATAATTTGTTAACAATTAATAACATAATAATACAACATGTAAAAAAAAGTATTAAATAATATAGACTTAAAAAATCTCATACATATCTTCTACAAACAAGTATTGGTTACATAAATATTATATTTAGAAACTGTAAACAAGTTAAACTGTTTTAAAATCAAATAATTAAACTGGTTTGAAATCAAATAATATTACTTAACTCAAACAAACAGTAAACAAACTAAACAAAAAAAAGAATAGTAATTAAGTATGCAAAAGATATTTTATATTAATCAACTCAATAAAACATTACACATAAATTTAAAACATTTAATATGGACTTTGAAATCCTAAAAAAATCCTAAACGCATTTAAAAGTCAATAACTATTTATAGTTACAACTTTTATACTTTTTACACGACAAATTTTAATCACATTGAAAACATACAGAATATTTCCCTTGCAAACTATTACACCTGTCAATGCTAGCTCTCAGCAACCCTATTAGGAGGATGATAGGCCTAGCTGAATGATTCACCATCATTCCCTCCTAACCGGACCCATCGCAAAAATGGCCGATTGCTAATCGGTCCAGGGTGCTGGTTTCTATATCTCCTATAGGCACGATAGGTAAGCTCTTAATGACAATAAATTGTTACTAAATTAGTATTGAATGGCATTACATAACATTTAATATAAACCAATTATTTGTAATAATAATAAACCAATGATAGCTTGAAAAATGTTAATTAATGTAAAAAGTTAAATACTGCTCTGGATTTTACTTTTACTGCACTTTGAAGGATAACATAATACAAATGTATTAATTAGTGAATATAAATAAAAATATTATGAATTAAATAATCATTCAGAAACATTTCTAAATCATAAATTTATCAGCAGAAGGTTGTGCAGATTGTTGTGGTCGTGGGATTAAAGTTAAAATTTTTTTTAAATAAAATTACAATTTATTTGCAGTCGATAAGATAGGCATAGACATATTAGAAACAATACTTTTACACATATTATGCATACACATATTAAAAAATTATAGTTTATAAACTTACCACTTGTAGCAGCTGAAGATGTAACTAAAGGTTAACAAAGTTGAAATAAAAATAAATATTGTGAAGAAATGCCAAGAAATGTATTAATATATTGAAAAGTAAAAGTTTGTAAATATACCAATTATAGCAGATATAAATTTTATAACTAAGTTATAAAAAGTGTAATAAAAAATAAATATTGCAATTGCTTTGAAATACATACATATATGAACAGGTTTTTTGAAGGATGCAATAAAAATATTTTTAAACTTACCACCCAATGCAGTTGAGGATGGAACTAGAGCTTAAAGGTTTAAAAAATAAATATTTGCACTTGTCAAGAAATGCAAACATTAAAAAGAAATAATTGTTAAACTTACCATTCATTGTAGATGAAGATGTTGCTAGAGGTAAAAAAAAGTAGTAAAAAATAAATATTGCAATTGACGACTTTGAAATTGGTATTAAACCTATTTACAGATTAAAAAGTACTAGCTTTTAAAATAACTAACCATAGCAACTGATAAAAGGAGCAAAGATCAAAAATAATTTAAGGTAACCCAAGATATACATGCTTATATTTAATATTCAAGTTATCCTACACAAACTTACCAGTGATAGGCTGGGTAGATCGAACTAAAAATAACAACAAAACCCTATGAAATTATGAAAGCAACTATCTGTAAGTAAGTTCTGTGGAAAATGCAACAACTTTATTAACATAATGAAAACTTTATTAACATAATGAAAACTAACAATGAAAATATAAAGAAAATATATTAATAAACAACAAACTAACATTAAGAATGGGTTATTCACTTTGTTTATAGATTAATTACATTATATTGGTTGTGGTTATATATGAAATACGTGATTTATACTTATGGAATCTCAAAAACTCTCCATGTCTAGCCAGATCTAAACAACAAGTCAACGTTAGGCATGCTTGTATTGTGATTTAAATATTAATCCACAGATAAAGAAGTATACAATCCAAAAATAATAAAAGATGATAATAAGTTAATAAGTTTTATCATATTTGAAAAATACTAACAAGTCTTTTGCAAGGAATAAACCAATGAAGTATCTGATTTTTAAACTTATTTATATGTTGTGTCTTTATAAAATTGTCAACAGATACTATTAGTTAACAATCCATTCAAAAGCAAAAGTTTTAAACTGAAACATTAATCTTCTTTTTTATGAAACATATAAAAACAGATTAGGAATTAATCTGTTTTTATATGTTACATAAAAAAGAATTTTAAATCAAAAAATATTCATAAATGATTTATGAATATTTTTTGATTTAAAATAGTTATTATTGATGTTATAAAAAAATTACAACCTGTTATTTTTGATGTTATAAAAAAACTTACTACCTGTTAGAGAGTCAAGTAAAGTTCTGTCTGCAGAGTTCATTTTTTATTTTAATCTAATAATAAAAATCAAAATAATACAATATTAGAATTTTTATTATTTTTCTGTAGAGTCGGCCCCCCTATCCGCCCCCGTATTTCGCTTAACGAAAAAAACAACAACAAACAAACAACAGAAAAGCCAAAATTAGGTACCAAAAGTTCTACACTAATTAAACTATCTGCGGAGCTTTATTTTTTGTTGAAATTTGGCATGTGCATAGAAAATGCATGTAGAAAATTATCTAAATAATAAAAAAAGGGGGATCAACATTTCTTTGACTACAAATTCAGGTGAGAACATCAAGCAAATTTTTATGCAAATTTTTTGGCAAAATAATGCATAAAAAAGTATACTAACCAAACATAATATTCATAAAATATCAAGCTTAACCTTTCGTCTTTTAAAAATAATATAGGTTTGTATATGTTTCTGATAAGAATCACCACAAAAAAACGTTTGCCTAGGACTACCTAAAAAAAGTAGTATACTTAGTATAACACTAATTAAACTATCTGCGGAGCTTTATTTTTAGTTGAAATTTGGCATGTGCATAGAAAATGCATGTAGAAAATTATCTAAATAATAAAAAAAGGGGGATCAACATTTCCACTACTAAACACTCATGTGAGAACATCAACCAAATTTTTAGGAGCAAAATAATCCACAAAAATGTTAAGTAACCATACATAAATGTCATATAAAAATCAAGATTAACTTTTCTTCTTTCAAAAAAGTATCTATGTGCATATATGTTTCTAAAAAGAAACTTTATAAAATTACATCTGCCTCATGCTGCCTAAAAAAGAGTTAAAAAATCGAGAACCAATATTTTAGCATAAAAATCGGTTCCGTAAATCGCGATTTCCGCGTACCTATATATATATATATATATTGTTGTTATATTATTAAGAATTATTTATATGAAAAAAACACTAACCTTTAAGAACTATTACATCATGAATTAATAGAATAACCCACTGTAAAATCAATAAAGTTAACAAAATAAAGACCACGTAATAAAGCAATTTTAAGTAACAAACAGTAATATATGGCATGTGTGTTTTGTTGTTATTAATATTGCTCCGTAAATTTTTTTGAAGGGTTGTTCGGCAATATACGCATGTAAAAATTAATCGTTCCGAATGGGATATGATCTAAACACAACCAACCCGAGATGACTCTTGGTTATAGTTTAATAAAAAAATAAGTTTCGTGGATTTCATCAGTTAGGGATTTGGTTTAATTTTACTAATTAAATAATTGATAGTTATTTATTAGTTGTTTATGCATAATCGCTTTATTATTTTTTTTTTTTAAATATAATTATTTTTTAAAGCTGTTATTAATTTTAGACTAAAATAAAATTTTACTAAATAGCAATAAAATTAAGTGATATAACTGTTTATAAACAATCAAAAAACAGTTTTATATGTAACAATTATAAAGTTTATTACATTTTTACAAAGTACAATGTAACTATTTAAAGTTTTTGTACTTCATATACATAGTTATGTTAACTAAACTCCTATTTGAGTTTTAAAACTCAAGTCTCATTGCTATTTAGTAAAATCTGGAAATTCATTTAATTTTTTTCAAGTTATTGTTGTTGAAATTATGTAGAGTTATTATATTAGTA